CTTACTCATTCTGATGATAGGGACCTTGTGAAAATCTCAGAAATGTTTATAATGGAACTAGCTTTCATTTCTCAAAGGCATTTAAATTGCCGCTTGTTTGATTGTTAATATTGCTGATTTAAAAATGTTTTAGTAAATGGATATAAATTGTACAATTGATTAAAATTTTTTTTTTTCAACTTTTGTAATCAGGTCAGAGATCTTGATGCACATATTCGATGGAATGATATTGGAAATGTTAATATTCTAACTATGATTGACAAGGAATCTAAAAAACCAGACAGATCATTTAAAAAAGTCATTATTCGACGGAAGTCATCTCGGGGCCAAGTGGTTAAGTATCTTCTTGATTTTGGCAAAAGAAGATTTCTCCCTGAGATTGTTTTGAAATATGGGTCCATGCTTGAGGAGTCCTTGGATAAAAGGAAAAGATATTGGCTGGGGGAGACCTATGTTCCGTTGCATCTCTTGAAAGCTTTCGAGGAGAAAAGAATTTCTTGCAAGTCCAATAAGTTAAGTCCTATCAAGCCCAGTGAGAGCAAAAACATCATAAAGAAGCCATTCAAGAAAAAAGGATTATCTTACCTTTTCTCAAAAGCAGAGAAACCTGAAAATGATCAGTGTGGTCATTGCAACAGAGATGTCCTCATAAGGTACAATGCTACTTATTGTTGGTTAAACTGCCATAATGTTTACTCCAGGCTGCTAATCTTATATGCGCAGATATAACTTTCATGTAATTAGTAAAATCAATAATTTGAAGCCAGCAATTATTATTTGGGTAGACTGACCAAACCATATTTTGGCAAAAACTTAGATATTTGATATAATACCGTGCTCTTCCCTTCCTTGCAACAACCTCATGCTTTGATCCCAAAAACAGCATCAAACTTGGCAATTCCAGCCGTCATGGTCCTCTGTGTGCACAGTTGTCAAGAGGACAGAAGGAATCCTCAATCTCATGCATTCTCCACGCAATCCTCCTAGTTCCTTTGTCTCTGTTCTCCACAAAACAGTCAATCCTTAGTGACCAATCGAAGTACAGGACAGATTTTGGATGCATCCAATATCTGCTTATTTTCAGTCTATTAAATTTTACAAAAGAAACTGCATTCTATTAGATCGTACCTTGTCAAAAGACTGAAAGAAGAGATCAGCATGAGCTTTCAAGCAGACTCTGTTGGGTTCTTCACAGGGAATGGAGAGGATAGGGAGTTTTTGGAGATGGGTAGGTAGGGTGGAGAGAGCGCAAGGTTTTAGATATCACATTCTAAGAATGCGACATTGTTGATAGATATAGTGGAGAGAGATTATGGTATTAGATATAGCATTCTAAGAATGAAAGATCATATCGCATTTTGAGAATGCGTCAATCATTTGAATGAATATTTAGAAAATAATAATATTTTGGAAAATTCTCTCCTTTTCTGGAGGCCATATAATGAGCAATGGTCCTTTTTTACCTTCTTTTTTCTTGTTTTTGTAATAAACTTCTTTGAATCTCATAATTAATTATTTTATTATCTCCAATTACAGGGAAGCTGTGAGCTGTCAGTACTGCAAAGGTAAGCACTTAATTTTGTTAATCTTCATATCAGTGCTTTATACACTTAAATATTGCCATTAGTCTTGAGATTTATGAATGATGTGATAGTTTTTGTACCTTATAATAAGATTAACACAAACTTTAATTGGGTTTTAAAATGTGATGGATCTGTGTTACCCCATTTGGGCTTTATGCCCTACTAGATTTGGGTTTGTCCCTGAGGCTGTACTTTAATACAGTAAGTTTCCTTGAGCCGTCTTGTCTTGATCAGTATTTGTTTTCAATAATGTGGGCCTCTTTGATGTTCAATGACCCTGTAGATTGCTGATTTTTTCAGCTTATTGCCACTAAAAATATTTTAACTGCTATAATCTTCTTACATTAAATACTTTTTCTTTCAAAATGTACTACTTTACATGTTTTTTGACGAAGGGTAGGCTGAAGGAGTAGAGGGTGTCAATATGATTTCCAGAATGTTTGCTGGTTAACAACCCTTGGACAGTTTTACAATTTAGTTTTGAAACAAACTGGATTATTGCAGACTGGATTTCAATCTTTTGCTAACTCTTTGGGTCTTGCTTCTATATTTACTCTGAAGTTATTAAATACTCAATTACTATACTACTGACGTGAATTGAACAATGCTATTGCTTTCTTGTTGTTGACTACATACTTTATGTATAAATATTGTCCAATAGAATGTAGTAGAAAACTATAATAATGCATTTTATAAGGGCTTGGCTCTCAGAGGGATTTTGACGCCTCTTCAGGTTCTCCCAGTGAACTCTTTCTAGGTCTTAGCCAATGTGGCTGCTTCATGTTCCTTTATATATGAATGGTCAAAGGCCAATACAGCACTTTTTCTTTTCTCTCTTTTTTCCCTTGTTTAATTTTTCAGTGATATTCTTGAGTCTGGTTTCATAATTGAGTTGATCAATAGAGTTACATTTTCCTTTTCACTTTTGAGCTTTTCCGTCTTGTATGGGAATTCAAGTGGCCTTTGTTTGTGCTTTTGTTAGGCTTTTTCCACAAAAGGCATGTGAGAAGGTCCACTGGAACTATTCCTGCTCAATGTGTCTATACATGCTACAAGTGCCTGGATGGGAAGCATGTAAAAAGCAAAACCAAGGTGAAATTAGGGACGAAAAAGAATAAGAACACATCAAAAATCTTAATGGCATTGCGTTCACGAACCAAGAGAAGGGGTACTAAGGATAAGCAGCTGGCACATTCTCAAAATAATACTAATAAAGATCCTGTTGTTATGCCTCTTCGACGTTCTGCTAGGAGGGCTAAAATTTTGTCTGTGCAAGAGAAAAATATAAAGAAGAAGATTGGAATGACAAGTGGTAAATTCATGAAATCAAGGAGAGGGAGGCCTAAAATTTTGTCTGTGCAAGAGAAAAATATAAAGAAGAAGATTGGAATGACAAGTGGTAAATTCATGAAATCAAGGAAAAGGACTTCAAAGAAACCAACTGAAGCTATACAGAAGAAGAAGAGAACTCAGTTCTTTCATATTTACTGGTTGAATGGCCTCCTGCTGTCACAGAAGCCTAATGATGAACGAGTTGCACTATTCAGGAGTAAAAAGCTTTTTGTTCTTTCAGGACAGTTGGGTGCCACAGTTGATTCACCAAAATGCAGTCTCTGTGGGGAACTAAAGTCTACACTTGCACTGAATTACATAGCTTGTGAAGTTTGTGGAGGTGAGAAATTGCACTGCACTTTGAGAGTTTGAGTTCATCAAGTTTAAAAAGCTCAGTTTTTTTGCAACCATTTCCATGCCTGGTCTGAGCTTTTCCTTGGATGCAGTACTTACTTACCATTTGGTCTAACCCTTGAGTTTTGATGTAACCTGCATTCTCCAAGAACAAAACAATGATAGAGTTGCCTCTACATTGCAAATAGGGGAATACTTTTATTTGCTGTTGAAGCATTTATGCATCTTCCATTTTATTTGTTTGTAACCCTGACTGTTATTTTCCTGATTGCTCTCTTTTTTTTTTTTTGGTTGGTATGTGCTTTGCAGATTGGTTTCATGGAGATGCATTTGGTCTTACCTCTGAAAGACTTGATATTTTAATTGGATTCAAGTGCCACAAGTGTCGTGGCAGCAGCCATCCTGTGTGTCCTTGTATGCCTATCATCAGGGGTGCCGAGGCTAAGCTGGTTGGGCTGAAGAGTGATGCTATGATTGAATCTGCAAACTTGAGACATCTTGAAGAGAAATTTCAATCACATGTAGAATCAAATAGATCTTGCCTTTCTGGTGATGATGACAAGAAGCAGTTGTCAAATGTTACTAATGTAGGCAATGAGGATGGGAGTTTGCATGTGATTGGGATAGCAGAGAGCACATTAGTGATGGATGGATCCGGAAGGACTGATATCCAACTGCAGGATGAGCCGATATTGTTGAATGAGAATTTTGACAATTCTAGCCAGAAGGATCAGAAACCACCAGAAGAGTGGGCATTTCCAAATGATAAATCTTCAATTGAAGGTGATGCCATGGAAATTGATGATGCTCCTATTGGTTTGTGGAGCAAAACATGGAGACAACGCAAGCCTTGTTAGTACAGAGTGCCTATCATTTTCGTCGTAAGTGGAGCATAGGGGAACAGGATAATCATCATTGACAAGAATAGCTGAAGAATGGTAACTCAACAGCCATTCTGGAATGATGGTAAACAGATTGACACTCAACATAGTTGCCTGCTTAGGCGTTTTTGGGTTCAGGTTAACTACTAGATGGAGGAAAAAAAAAAGGCTGTGACTGTAGATTATAGTTTTATACATATAGTTGTGCTAAATATCATAGAAATTAAAGAAGTTTTGGATCTTCATATGTCATTGACATCGAGGAACCAATTACATTTCATTAGCAATTATATCAGGCTTCTTTTGACAAAATTCTTAGTTTTGATTCAAGATTGGTTAGTTGAACCCAGCATTAGGTCAGGGTAGAGAATGGATGCAGAGAAGCACCTGAGTTAGCATTCGGTTCTCAGTTCGGAGATGTTGGAATTCTTTTTCCCAGTGTGTCTTGTCAATTTATTCTACTTCAGTGCAACAACTGGATTAACTGGGAAATATTTGAAGGTGAAACTGTTAAATACTTCGTATACAAGCATTGGCCAAGCATTCATCTGCTTCTTTTGTTCTCTCTAATTTATATTGTGTTAACTTTCGTCATACTCTGTATTTAACATTAAGATCTTATTTTTCCCTTTGCTGATTGAGTATTATTTTCTTTTCTGCATAGCTAGCTTTATCTAAAGATGTAAAAATGGTGATCTAAGACATCTCTTTTCTGTAGCATGTTTATTAGGTCAGTTAGTTCTATGAAGTAAAGGGTAGGAATGTATTTTATTTTTTTGTTAAAGAAATGCAGTCTCCTTATTTGATCTGCACATTTAACACTTTATGGTGTAGTGTTCTGAAGATAGTCTGTTGGAATTATTGTTTATTGATGATGATAAAAAAAAAAAAAATCATTAAAAACATCAGTGTTTATACTCTATTGAGGTGCATATTTTGCAGGTAATGTATGAATGTTGAGGCCAGTTTCCATGAACAGTTTGGCTTCAAGAATGAGAGTTTGCTTTATTGGTAGATCTCTGAATCATTTGATATCCCACTGATAATCAGTTTAGCTTTCCAGTTTCCAGCATTCTTGATATTATGAGATGGCTGTTGGAAATTTGGCTCCTCATTATCTCCCTGTTGGTGGTGCACAATCTGGAAGCTTAGTTATCTGTGCAACAATCCTTGAAGTTTAGCTCTCAGTTCTCTGCTTCTGACTTGGAGGGATGTCTTCAAACAACCTGTAGCATAGTATTATCAATGGTGAGGAATTTGGGAAAAACAACTCTTCAACTTTACACTAATTCACTAGATTTTTGTAGACTTCAAATGTTCGTAATTCCCTAAAACATATTCTTAGATTTTTGTATGGTGTCAATAATACCAGATTACAACAATGCTCGTCCCTAATTGTACCGAGTCTTATTGACATCAGTATTAATATAGTACCTAATATAACAAAAGTTGTATTTAGTACTATCAGTACCACAGTAGAAAATCCAATCTTCTCATATTATAGCAAAAATTCAATAAATTGAACAGGAAACTTTTTGTTTGATAAAGTAGGGCAGAATTCAGCAAGAAAAAGGGTGTTTGAAGTGCACCAGCAAAAGGCAGCTAACTTACATGGACTTGATTCTCTTCCTCTTATCGCTGCAAACATAGGCGCTCAACTCTTCAATACTTAAGCTATCGAAACTTTCATCGAGATCAAACTTCAACAAGTTACAGTCATCCAAGGGCAACGAAGATCCACTAGAACTGAGAGTGGTTGATATGTCTTTGAGTTGTCCATTAAGTTTGTTCATCAAAATAAAACCTGTATGAAAGATGGACAATTTACAACATAGATACGAAAAAGGTGAAATTTACAATGCTACATTCATATATTGAATATAAGTACATCACAAAAGATTACTGAGCACCAAAGCTTGTAATCTTCGGTTCGTGCAAGTAAATCACACAACTTGAATAAGAATGAATTTTGCATGCTAAAACACAGATTCTTGTGAACAAAGAATCACAAAACATCAACAACAGTGTTCACTTTTCACGAGCGAAGGCCAGTGTTGTCCAGGGCAGCAAATGATAAGTTTCATATATTCAGATAAATTAAGGAACTTCCACATCAAATAGGTAGATGATAACCAATTTCTCATTGCTATAAGTATAGGTTGAGATAAGACATACTGAGAGCACGGAGAAACTTCAAATCAAACTTCTTGGCCAAAGCTTCATTACCAATTTTCTTTGCATGTTGGATGATCAACACTTTCAAACTAATCAAAAAATCCTAGCAATTAAAAGACCAGAACACATCAGTCTTGCATTTCAAGAACACCTACAGTTTGCACATTCCAAGTGAATAAATCACCCAGAGAAAACAGAAATTGGAAAGACTCACAAGTTCAGAATCGGTTAGCGAGCAAAGCCATCTGACATCATCAATTCGATTTTCCCTCCCTAAAATCAATTCTTCTCTATCCATGCCTATGTTCTTGTGAACTTCCCTTTCTCAGCCTCCAGAAGTTTCTGCAACCAAATTTACAATCATGTTACTCTTCAGAGCAAACTTTCACAACACATAGCTCAACCACTCCAGTACCAACTGCATTGATCTAAAAGCATTACTTGAAAACAAGAACATAAAACAATCTTAATTTCAGCAAACTAAACTGACATAGAAAACCAAGATAGAAAGTGAATGCTGCACAGTTATAACTTTAGAGACAACAAAACTTATAACTTTATCAGAAAGATCATTCATCAAAGTTATGAGCTCATAGGATTCTTCATCAAGGTTTAGGCAGAGAAATTTTAGGAATCGTATAAGGTTTAGTTGAATATCAACTAAATCAGAAACAATAAGCTCCATAATTTCAGATTTTCAATTGCAGTTGGACATCATAGAAGATGAACAGAGATTGAGAAGAGTTCACAAATTAACGACGAAGTTCCGTACAGAAGTTTCCAGTTCTGAGAGCGTGAAATTCTCCTGAGAAAACGCCGTCGGAACGGAGGACCGAGCGCCGGCGGCAATCGGCGGGATTTTGGGAGAGAAATTTGGAGGGAATTAGGGCAAGTGGAGTTCACGCTTCTAGTTATATATCAACGTGGATATAACCGCTTGCTTCCCCGTTGGGCCTTACAATTGGGCCAAATATTGGGCCGCAAGTCCCTGGCCCATATTTATAACAATCAAAGCCGCAATGAAACTCGAAACCCCATCTTCAAACTGCTTCACTCTTCCTCGAGCTTTCATCCATGGCGACTGAGAACAACAAATCAAAAGCGAACAAGAGGAGCAGGCAACGCTATCTTCCCCAAAACGTAATTCCTATCTCTATCTTTATATATAGCTTTTATGCATATACGTGTGTTACTTGCAGCTAATTTTGTTTTGATTTTTTTTTTTTTTTGTCATAAAATAGAGAGCAGTGAAGAAGGCGATACGCCCAGGAGTGCAGGGGTTTTATATAACCTGCGATGGAGGGAGGGAGCGCCAAGCCTCTCATGAAGCTGTTAATGTTATTGACTCTGTATGTGTTTTCAATCTGAGAAATTAATAGTTGCAAAAACTATCCTTTTTTAGAGCTTATTTTTGCTAAAACTAAAACCAATTTGGTATCATAAAAAAAGAAATTTACTTTTCTTTGTGTAGTTAGGTTAACCTTGGTTAGCTCTACACATTTAGGCCTAGGCACAAGGAAGATAAACTATCCCCCTCTCCCTATATTTATGCTCCTGCATAGACATTACATTGGCCTGCATTGGTTCTTGTTCTAATTGGATGTTCAGTTCAGTGGGTGGAATTGTAGACTTGGAGTCCATAATATTGTATTAACAAATTCATATTTGTTGTTAGCAGTGTTGTAAAAATCGACCTAGGCATCCCTAGGCCGAGGTGATTTAAGCCCTAGGCGGCTTTTAGTTGGCTGGCCGACTAACCGGCCGACTGGCGCCTAGTTGGGCGCCTAACCCCGCCTAGTTGGCACCCAACTAGGCTAAGTCGGCACTCAACTCGGCTGAGTGTATTTTTTGCTTGCTCGGTTGCCCCTCTTCTATATTTCTCTAGCCATGTACTCAACTAACCATCTAACATATGTAGTTGATTAGTTGGTGGGATTATAATAGTCTAACAACTCACAGCCCTGAGTGGGAAAAGTGGAGACGATATACTTGAATTACTCGACCGCCTAGGTGGTGCCTAGGCGCCCGACTAGCGCCTAGTGCCTTCTGCAACATTGGTTGTTAGACATTCGGGAGTCTTGTTTCTCTTTTGTATTTTGCCATGCTAATTACTCCATATGTGATATTTGAAGAAAAGGCTTGTTGCCTTCTTGAATTTTCAAGTTCCCAATTTCTGATTTTTCTTTTAATGCTTTTTCCTGTTGTAGTTTTATGAAGAGCTGGTTAATGGGACACAAACAAAAGCGGAAGATACAAAACCAGTAAAACAAACTTTAAATAAGAAAATTGTGTTCAAGGATTCTGATTCTTCTAGTAGTGATGAAGAAGCTGAAGAGGAAAGTGAAGACAATGTGAATGGTGGAGATCAGAAGGATGCAGATCACACCCAGACGAGTGAAGACAATAAAGAAAAAGCTGCAAGTGATGGGAGCGTCAAGAACAATGATGGTAAGGATGGCGTAGAAAAAGCTGGTGATGATGGAAGTGGTTGTCCAACCAATGGAACATCTGGATCTGAAAAAGAGGATAATGTCTCTTGTCAGCAGCAGGTGCAAGGAAAGATACAAGGTAAGGAAGAGCAAACAGAAAGTCATGAAAATAAAAAAGATGAAGTTGTGGAGCCACCTGCAAAGAAACAATGTCTGGAAACAGTAAAACCAGCATCTACGGTAACTACATCTAATAAAAAGGAGGAGAAATCTATTGATAGACTAATTGAAGCTGAGCTTGCTGAGTTGGGAGATAAGAGCAAGGTAAAGAAAGCAGCTACTGTGCTCACATTCCGGTCAATCTTTTAAGTTCTCAGATTTACATTAGAATTGTATTTATTTATTTATTTGTGAACAGAGACGTTTTAGCTACCTAGACTCAGGTTGCAATGGTGTTATCTTTATCCAAATGCGTGTTAGAGATGGAGATCCAAGCCCAAAGGATATTGTCCAACATATGGTATCCTCTCTTGCCTCAACAAAGAAGCATGTATCAAGGTATAACTTTTTCAATCAAGAAATTACAGAAGAATTTGGTACTTGACCAATATTACTTAGGCTAAGAATGTTATGGCTTTAAACAGGTTCATGTTAAGAATACTGCCAATTGAAGCAACATGCTATGCATCAGATGAGGAAATAGGGAGAGCAATCAAACCTCTCATTGAGAAATACTTCCCCTCTGAAACTGAGAGTCCACATAAGGTGGTCTTCAATTTTTTTTTATTCTTTCATTTCAGACGACTGAAAATTGTATTTCTGTTGATGGAATGGATATTAGTGTTTCAACTAAGGATATCTCAGGAGATGAATCACATGGTCTTTGAGTTATTATAAAGGAGCTTATAGAAGTTTGTGCTTGATATGTGCCGCACCTTAATTACGTAATATTTAAAATGGATTAAGTCACTCTAATCTCTAACTAAATGAATTTATGTATATGTAGTTTGCTGTACTTTATGAAGCCCGCGCTAACACTGGAATTGATAGATCAAAAATTATCGACACAGTGGCAAAATCTGTCCCTCAACCTCACAAAGTTGATCTCAGCAACCCAGACTTGCATATAGTAGTTCAAGTTGTCAAGGTAAGCAGTTTCTCCTCTTGCATGTTTTGTCTTTCACTGCTGCTCTCCTATCATATCAAAGTAGTTGTTTAGTTGACCCTGTCTTGTATTCAGTACTTGAATTGTTTTCAAGTATGCTTTAGTTAAATGTAGGCTAGTTTAGCCTGTCAAGTAGATATGTTCCTAACTCTAAATTTGAACATCTAGTTGAAAATGATTTGGTTTTTTCTTTAAATGATTCTGTGAAATCTATATGAAGGACATCTCTCTTTTGACTAGTGCCTTGATGAGACTGGAGAGTGGAGAATGATTTAGATTTGAATCACTTTGTTTTAGCCCTTGTATGGTGCCTTTTGGTAGCTTCTATGAATGATGAGATCATTTATAGTGCTTGTTTTGCCCAAGTTGAGCTCTTTTAAAAAAGGCTTTTTTGAAGAGCCTCAACACTACTACACTAGAGCTTTTAGCAAAAGAGCTTTTAGAAGACACTGTTTTTAGTGTATGGCCAACTTATGCTTCTTCAAGTAGATAAGCTCCAAGCCAAGGACTTTGTGGTCTTGTGGCACCAAGTTGCTCTCCCATATGGGAGGTTGTGGGTTCGAGTCTCAGTGGTGACGATATTGACTCTTTGTGCTTCAGTAGGTTGGGCGTTGGGAAAGTATGAACAGATATTGCATTGTAACAGAGTCGGTAGTACTCAATAAATAAATAAGCTCCAATAAATTGTGGGCCAAAACATATGTTTATGTTGGTTTTAATAAATGCGTTTTGGTCATGGATTTTAAAATCTAAACCACTTGTCATTTCTGGTCTGTTTATTTTGCAGACAGTTTGCTTGCTAGGGGTTGTCGAAAAATACAAAGAATGGGCAAAGTACAATGTGAGACAGCTGACGTCTTCCAAGTGACAAACCTGATATAACCACATGATTGAGAGTAGTACTCAGAATTGGCGTAAAGTGCATTGCAACATGGGGTTTGTGAACAACTTAAGAAACTATCATTGCAACATGTTTTGCCTCGCTAGATCTGCGAGTTGATATTTCTGATGCTACCTTTAGTTAATGGGGGTTATAATTTAATAGTTTTTAGTGATGGAACATCTTTTTTCTTTCTTGTGCTTAGTTAATAAGAATTTTTGTTTTAAGGTATTTTTCGGAGAATTTCAATGATTTAAGGTATTTTTATTAGTACAGTTTATATTGATGCAGTTGTTGGATGCACACTCTCATATTTTGGTCTGCAAGAGGGGTCAAAAGTTTTGGTACTTTGAAACCAGTAAAGTTTTGAAGGATCTGATAGGAATTGACCAAAAAAAAAGTGTCAAATAAACTGTTTGAACTTATTACATCTGTGCAATTTGGTTACTAAACTTAAAAAGTGCCCAAATTGGTCACTAAACTTAAAAAGTGCCCAAATCAAACCAGATAAACAAACTTATTATGTTTGTGTGTTAACTTAAAATCACACCATCAGACAAATGAAATATGTTGCGTAAAATATTTATATACTTTTGTGATAAAATAGCTTTAAAAAAGAATGAGAAGTGTCAAATACACTTTGAATTTTAACACATTGTGCAATTGAACCATTGAACCAAAAAAAAGGAAGGCAATTGGACTACCATTAAAAACTCTTGTGTAAATAGTATTTTTTTTAAAGGTTGTTTTCAAATTTTCTTTAAATTAATGCCACATTATATATAAAAATTATTTTAATTATTATTTTTAAAATTTAAGAGAAAAAATAATAATTTTTTTTAAAATTTTAGAAGAAGGTGGAGGCAGTCATGTTGTGTTTCTATAAACACAAAGTAATGATAATAAAAAGTAAAAAACAAGAATTGTGTAAAACTTTGGATCTAAAATTCGACTTCTTATGCACTATATTGAGTAAAAAAATCATATGAATTCATCTGATTTAAAGAAACAAATGGTAAAGCTAGTATATGTGGTGGTACACAGCTTCAAGTGAGCCTAATAATTATTAAGCAATGGGGCAATAGTTTTTCTTCCAATCTATCATCATATGAAGAATGACTTGATCTTCTTCTCTTCACCACAACAGGCAGCACCAGTTTAAGACTTTGAAATCTACAGTGTGGGCTTGAATAGCTTCTCAACCATCTTTCTGTACTCTGCAGAGAAGCAAATGCCCACTGTTCAGACACTATAAAGGCAAAAAAAAAAAAAAAAAAAACAAGCGACCCGAATCTATATGTTACCTTCTTGATTGCCCCATAGCGCTGCCGCTTGAGAATTGAGAGGCGAGCTGATGTTTGGCTCTGAATCATAAGATCAAAACAATGGAACGGGAAAGTTAAGTACCAGAGATGACAATAGATTGCGGGGTTAAGTAATAATGGGAATATAAAGCAGGTAGAAATGTAGAATCTACCTCCTAGCAAACTCTGGATTGAGAGTAGTATAGTCCTGACATCATATGCAGATGACCATTTGTCCTGTAAAATTACATGTCAGACTGCATCTTACAACGATATTGTAAGAACCCGGATTGATTAAAAGAAGCTGAGCAGTAACCTGAAGAATGTCCAAGCATATGTTCCCAAACACATCAACATTGGGATGAAAACAAGCAGTCTCGAATTTCACGGTGGGGGGTTTGAATGGATACTCGTTCGGGAAGGCAAGGGAGAGCTTGTATTCTGTTCCTTCGAAAACAGTATCTTTGCTACCAGTGATTGTCCCTTTCCAGCAAAATATGTTGTCTTCTTCAGGGAATGCTGATATTCCAGAATCACCACTCATCTGGAAAGAATAAAGATATACAGTCAGATTCATTCCAATGAGGAAAAATAAAGAGAATACAGAGATCACAGCCTCAAGGGAAACCCGAATTTCTCACCATCAAAGCCATCAGTTCGGATTGCAACCTGTTGATACACAAAAACACTGCAATTAGATTTAAAACAAAATGTTCATAAAACAGCTACCACTAGACAGTGTTGCAAAAATCCCGCCTAGGCGTTGGCCGGCTGCCTAGCGTATCACTATATCAGTGGAATAGGCAATTGGCCGGCTAGGCCGCCTAGTCGGCCAAGATTAGCTATTGTTTCTTTCTTTTTTAAAATGGATTATTTCACTCAAAACGACATCGTTTTGAGCAAAATAACCCTATATTGTTCAAACTCTAGATTTTCTTAGGTTAATATTTAATATTTTAAAAATCAGTAAGAGAAATTGTTAGCCTGAGATTCATAATGCTTCAACTTTCAAGAGAACAGAAGAGAGCCTTCAAAATCAGAGAAAAGTTTCAGAAATAACTCAGATCCTTCTAACCTATTGCTAGATCAGAATCAATTAAGAGTCAGAAGACCAAAACCGAACTAATTAGAGAATAGTTCCAGAAAAAAAACTCAGATCCTTTCAACCTATCCCGAGATCGGAATCAATTAAGAACCAGAAGACCAAATCCAAACTAATTAGATCCAATTCAAGAAGATTAGGAGAGAGACGCTTGACCTTTTGAGAACGGACTGGGTGTCGACGGTCTTAGCTGGAGGCAGTGGCTTCTTCGGTGACGGCATCACGGGGAGACTGTTAGGGTTGGTATTTGCCGCCGCCATTGCTACACAAATTCTTAATGATCTGAACCCGATAGAGAGAAAGACTCTTCCGGTACAGAATCAGAGAGAGAAAGAGAGAAAAAAAGAGAGAGCGAGAGAGATTATCTGCCGGAAGAGTGTTCGGTTAGGGTTCGCAGGGACTCGGATGGGTTATTAAAAGCTGCCATGAACTGCCGCCGCTTTATAAAATTCAAAAAAATTTCGAACGTTGTGGACCGCAACGGCTAGTTCTCCAACCTGTACGTACTTTGCTTCCCTTTCACTTCATCTTTTTCGCATAATTTTTCCAAATACTCTAAAAATATCAAATTTGAGCTGTAAATACATTATTGCTTTTGGCTTAGTGGTATACAATATCTTCTAAATTAGGCACTTTCATAATTTCATATCATAATTTTAAGAACTTATGCTACATTCACTATTTGATATTTTGATTTCACCTTTTAACATTTATTTGGGTCAATTAATTCACAAGTAGTTAAGTAATATAAATAAAATGGTCAAATAGGTCCTTCACCTTTGCACAAAAGTATAATTAAACCCCTAAATTATTAAAAAGTGCAATTAAACACTTCAACTTATTAAAATCGGTCAAATAAATTCAATTTATCGATATGCAGACCATCGTTGACTGTCACTAACTGTCATCGACTGTTGTCGTTGATAACAATTGGAGAAAAAAAAAAATCAACGACTAGCATGTCCCTTTCTCCGGTGGAGAAGGCGACCGCAGGTTACCCTCCGGTGGAGAACCTTTCTCCGACTAGCAGTCCCTTTCTCCGGTGGAGAAGGCAACCACAGGTTACCCTCTCCAATGAGAAGGTAATGAAGAAGGCTCGCCTTCTTCAAAGGCAACCAATGACCATTACCGATCATCGAAATTGTCAAAATATTGTCGGAATCCTAATAATTTGCTATTGCAGGTCATTAATTGATTTTAAGACTTCAATTCATAAAATAACATGTTCATGAGCTTAATTTAACTTTTCAAAAATTAATGGGCCTAAATACACTTTTATATAAAGTTAAATAAATAGTCTATTTAACCATTTTTCATGATTTTATTGCTAAGAAACATTTTTCAATTTTAAAATAAGAAATCAAGTTATCAACTAATAGATAGATGCATTGTATTCACATTCTAGACTAATCTAATCCAACATATCTCATACATGAATAATGACACCTATCCTACAACATGCGCAGTAACTCAAATATCTTTCATTTGAACCAACACCTTTTGGTCGGATAGTAATGTTCATCAACAAAAATTCGAGAAGCAAATAATCAATCAAAATAATAAATAAACAAATGAACAAATTTCATTTCATTGAATGAGAAGCATTCCAAGCTAACATATGCACAACCTTCCCCTTTCACATATTTTGATGGATCGAAAATATATATATATATATATAAATATATAAATATATATTTAAAAAATTACTTCCACCCCCATTTACAGAGCTCTATCTGTATATGCCCTTATATTTTTTTTTATATATATATATGCTTTATATTCATGCCAACTGTACTGTATCCACACTAGAGCCCGAGTGCGCAGCAGCAAGAAGAGCTGCCCCAATGCCTGATCCATCTTCCATTGCCCGCAGAGTAACATAAGACGATATTTCCTCCCCCAGAATCTCAGTCACTGCTTCATTCAGGTATTCCCTGAATATATTGTAGCTTGTATACAAACCTCCTTCAATGGCCACCACTGTTCTTTTCATCCTACTTGGCTTCTTCGCGCCTCTTTGTTTCCCGCTAGATATGCCGCTGCTGCCATCACGGCCGATCTTCTTTAGTATTCCCACGATGCCCGCGGCTGCCAGCCTGGCAGCTCGTCGGGTCACCACGTCGCATACCTCCACCACGACCTTCCGGACGGGAAGAGTGGTGTCTGGTAACTGTGGGGTGAAATGAAATGCTAGCAAGCTTAGAGGCAAAATGTTGATGGGGCAATGCAGGATTAAATGTAGACCGGAGAGTTTACCTCGAGAGTTTCTCGTAGAATTCTTCCTACTTCACTTAAGTCGGGTGAGTCATCCTCGTGCATAGCTGCCATCTGTGGCGTCCTGAGGTTAAACGGGGAAGAAAACATCACGATGATAGATATAACAACAAAAGAAGCCAATGGGTGTTGCTAATTGCGTTAAAAACACCATCAAAATGCGGTTAGGGTGCAGGAGTGCACGAGATGGTCAATCCAATATCTTCCCTGGCATATATATTATCCATTGGATCGGAAAGTAGAATATCTTATGCATTGGAAACGGGCATTGAAAATAGAATATACCTTAGGATGAATGGCGTTGCAAGTTTAGAAGATACAGGTGCAAAAACATTGGATTCCTGTGACATTCTAAGAAGTACTCTTCTCACAATGTCCCCTAAATACATTCCTGATATCATTTTTTCGAAGCCCTGCAACAAGATTGAAAAGGTATAATGCACAGAAAAATATGTTAGTGACAGTTTTAAGAGGTACCAAATTCTACCTGATCGTTAGGGTTTGGGCTATTGACATCTAGTTCGATATCATATGATGTTCTTGGCAAATGAGATGAC